CCTCCTATGAAAACAACAGTACTGGTCTCAAGAGCCATTGTACTCAGCCTAGAATCATTGGATAAGATGACAGTAGGTAACAATGAATGACTCTTGCCCTTTATATAGCTCTTTTCTACATTGAAAAAGCTCCCAGGCTCCTCTATAATTCTGTTCTCAGGTCTTCTGGCAAACATAAAAGAAAGTCTCCCTCCTAAATAAGTTATTTTTTGGTTCTAGGACAAAATACCCTTGAAAAATATCAGCCACATACTTAGATTTTAGTCAAGTCTGTTTGCCTAAACATGTACTCTGCAAATATTTACAGAGGTCCTATTATGCATCAGGACCTACCCCATGCACTGGAGATACAGAGATGAGCATCCCCAATTCTTCCTTAGGTTCTAGTTTAAGGTTTAACGAAGACTACAGTTAAGTTATTGATTCCTAAAAATATTGATGTTGCCTTTTGTATTATTTCCAATTATGTTTTAGCCTGAGGATCCATCTGAGTTTATTGACAACATGTTCCTAAAAAAAAAACAAAAAACAAAAAAAAGCATGAGTCATTTTAAAGTACACAAAGTTGCTTTAACTACAAAATAGTGGACAGACACTTTAGGAAATCCATCAAGGAGATGGGCTACGACCAATAAAAGGTCAGCTTGAAGGAAGTAATTGGAATTTGAGTAGCCTTGACAGGTTACACATCTCCAAAAAGGAACACTGTTATTATTTTTTGTCCTTCACTGTGTTCTTGTACATGAGATTCAGGGAAACGATATTAGTGATTACATCAGTTGGAATTTAATCAGGGAAGCAGATCACTGTGAATAAAGTAGAATAAGGGCTTTATTATAAGGATTAGATCTTATACAATCATGAGAGAAGCTGGAGAAGTAAATGTCCAGAAGGGGATGGTTGGCTGAGCAGAGAAAACCCCTAACCAGGACCCATGAGAAGGAGCTGTTGAAGAAGTCTATGGAAGGCCATTGCCTCCACATCTGACTGTGCCTGGAGTATGTCAGAGGGCAGGTGGTCAAGAGGCAGGTCAAGAGTTGGTCAAGAGGAAAGCTGGATGCAAAGTGGAGGAGAGCAAGAACAAAGTGGAAGCCACAAGGGCAAACTGTCATGTATATCTGCCTCTCACTGCATGGAACCCCAAAGTTGCACTGCCTTGCAGAAGTTGCTCATGCCATTGCTGCAGAGCTGCTCGTGTGCCCAGCCCAGGACTCAGAGAACCTGAGGCAGGAGCATCAGCAGGAGCTGGAGAAGCTGTGAGCCCAGCTGCTACTCCACACCCAGGTGAGCCAGCTGGTGAGCAACAGTGTACACAACCTGCTGGGAGCCTGATGCCCTAAACCCACCTGCTTAGTGCAATGGCTGCAGCTGCCCTCCTGTCCTCCGAATCTCATGGAAATTTCTCTGTGGCCAACTCTAACCCAGAACCATTCAGAGAAGTGTAATTCCAGCTTAACTCAATTGACATACTACAAAACTACCACAAAGACAGACTATAACTAAGATATATATATTAAAAAAAAACTACAGAGATGATATAATTCAATTCTGTCTTTATAAAGACATGATAACTGGGGCCCAGGGAGACCATGGCTTGTCCAATGTCACAGAGCTAGTGACAGGCTTAGAAATTCAATCCCACATGTCTCCATCTGGGTGATATCACAGAAAGAACACTGGATGCGAAGTTAAGACACCTGACATTTTGCCTCTAATTAATTTTTTGGCCTTGGGGAAAAAAGTCACTCAATTCTGGATGGGCTAGGCCCTACAAACTGAAGGTGCTCAGTTAATATCTGATGAATAAAGGAATAAATATAGTCTCTGAAGAACAACCATTTTACAAAATTGTTCCATTGCCTAACATAAAAGAAAAATTGAAACCACGCTCCTGAGCCTCATAGTGAGGTATTCTCTTATATTCTCATGAAATTTTTCTGGGATTAGAATGGATCACCCGGGCCCTTCTCCTTTGCACAAGTCAGATTTCCAATCTCTCAGCCATGTAGCAATTAGACTTTCTATATTCTTCTTGTCACCTCATTGTGGCTTCTACATGATCCTTTCAGTCTGAGCTTTTCAAGAGGAGTCCAGTACCACATAGCTGGAAAAGCAAGAATCAAAAAACGTAGGAAGAAGCTAGAAGAATATCAGATTGCTAGCTACATATTTCTATGTTTTGCTCACATGTCTACAATTTGGACAGAGTTTAGCAGGAACGACTCATCTCTGCTCCGTGTGGCATCACCTGGGGCATGCGGCATCTCAAAAGCCGAGAGCTGAAATCATGTGGTGGCTACTCACTTTCAGCTCCGGCTTTTGGCTAGAATTTCTACACATAGACTCCCTATGTGGTCTCTCTGCTTCCTCTGGCATGATGATTGGGTGTAAGAGCAAGTCTCCCAAGAGGACCAGGTGGAAACTCTATCACCTTTTATGACATGGACTCGGACGTCACATATCATTTCTGCCAGAGTTACAGGCACTCCCAGAGTCAAGAGGAGGAAATACAGGTTCCATCTTTCAATGAGGGGAGCATCAGCACTACATTTTAAAAGGAGCCTGAAGGATGCAGTATCACATTGCATGCCATCTTGCAAAATACAATCTACCGCAGGCAGTGATCAATACCCACGATGAGTTTATAAACACAGAGCTTGTCAACTAAATGAGCTCTTGTCCAAAAATAACCCCAGAAATATGTTTATGCACACATATATAAATACATGCACATATGCATACATAACAAGTACTTTGTAAATGAGGTTAATTCTTGGATTCAACTTGCTTCCAAGATATTTTCAGTGTTATGCCTGAAGGTAAGGTCAGGGAACAGGGCCATTCAATTAGTTTAAAATCAAAGTACTTTTTCCTCATCATCCTTCTCCTCTCTGGGAAAATAAATCAGGCTGCTGAATTTTGGACCTATATCATTTCCATGGTAACAAAGCCTAAAGTGCTAAAAAGTGGAGTGTAATTCTTTGCAATATTTAAGAAATCTGTATTTCGTCTGTGTGGTGTGTAAAAGTCCACTTAATAACAGTGAATACCATTACCACTAATCCTCCTACACACAAACGCACTCATATATGTACACACACAAGCAATATGAGTGTTTAAAAAATCCCGTAATTTATACTAAGTAGACCATAAAAATAGGGGGAAATGAGTAAAAATGAGACTGTCTAGTTTGGTCTCTTAGATCTGCTTTGAGCCAGATTTTCTTGTTTTGATTTTGATCTCAATTAGGCGACTTTAGAGATAATCTGACCATCTGAGCCTGGAGGAAAAGTCAACAATCATAGGTACAGAAGAGAGAATAATTACAGTGTCTGGAACCTACAAGTAGTTCAGTGCAGCTGGAAAGTAGAGTATTTCTAACACAGAGTCTTATTTTTAATGTTATGCTTTTAATTGTGAAGTATTTCAAACATACAGAAAATAATGTGATTCTATGTACCTATCCCCATAGTTAATGGCTATTACTCACTTGCCATATTTTTCTCAAATCTCTTTTCTTTCTAAATAAATAAAATATTAACTATTCAATTAAAACCTTACCTGTCCATCCTTTGCCTTCCCTCCTTCTCCAGAAATCTTCGCTGTCCTGAAGTTCATGTGTGACATTCCTATGTACGTTCCTGTATGTTAGCGCTTATGACTGAATCCCTTCACTGTTGCATCTTTGTGCTTTAAAAATTCGTATAAATGGTATCATAGAGTATATGTCCTTTTATAACTAGTTTCTATGCTCGAAATTATGGTTTTTATCTTTAGCCACAGGGCATAAATATGCCATAAGGAGCGTGGAGACGAGCATTCAGTATTGCACAGACAGTTCATCATTTATTCCACTAAATTTATAGTTCACCTGGAGAGTGAGTTGATGATGACAGTTTTTGCATTTGTAGAAAATGTTAATGATATGCAGGCAAGACTGGACACCAGAAACTCAAGTGAAAACAGGGAAAAGACAGTGTGGTTATTTGCAACCCAGTCCTTCCATTTCTGAAGGTCAGGTGCTTTCTTTTAAAATCCATCCTATGAGGACAGTTACTGGGGCTGCATGGTCTTTGGTGATGATACTATAGAAGTCCAGAGACTGCTAAGGAGGCATTCTATCTAGATGGGAGTCTAGACTCATGCAGGGATCGGGAAGCCACATCCCTGAGTTTCCATCAGGGACCCCTGGTGATTCTTTGTGTCCTACCCTTCTCTCCCTCCTCCCACCCCAGTAGATCTCCTCTCCTACTGGGATCTTTGGACTTGGATAGCGTGAATCTGTACCCCACAGGCTGGGAGAGCTGAAGGGCTAGGTGAATGACATCCACTTGGGTTCTTTTGTGTCCTGCCACATGCACACCTTACTTCCATTCCCTATTGGCATGAGAAATGCCTCCCTTGTTCTATTCAATTACCAGTTGCAGTTTGATAGATTGAGTAATTGGTAACTTTTTGTATGTTGTTAAAATAAAGGAACTAAAGGGGTGTTTATTTTCAAGACACAAAATTGAGTCACTGATATGATATCAGATATGCATGAGCTATTATATGTACTCCGTCTCTCTTCTCTGTTTACCATATTGCTCTTTGAATGTCTCAAAGAAACTCCTCACATGCAGATGCCCTCCTGAAACAGAAAAAAAAGGGACTGCACATACATTTCCTTTTAAGGTGGCATTTCCTTATTCAATAATATCAACCAGGTTAAAGTTATATTGACCTCATGTCACTATCAACTCATTATATTTTATTTCTGTTGCATTTCTGAGTATGTTAAGCTAAAAGCAAGTGTCTTCATGCAAATTAAACTGCAAAAAGCTTTTTAGGCCATGTTCAAATATTAACAGGTTTGATAATATATTTGTCTAACAAGAGTAGGACATAGAGCTCTTTGTTTACTGACATACTTTATTGTCATTCTGCTGTACACCTCTCTTCTGATGTGGCTGTTTTATAGGACATAAAGTCTAGGTATCCTGTCAGAATCTCAGATCTTATTTATAGCTTGCTACAAAGTGGCTTGTTGTCATTTATTATTTCTTATTTGATTTATATAACATCTTTCTACCAAAGAGCCCATGGGTTTATTTACATAAAGGGTACACACACACACACACATACACACAACTTGAACTTCACGTAGTTAGCAGTATACCACCAAAAACCTGTAGGAGGATTTTCCGTTTGTTTTTTGTTCCAAGCCCATGTTCTGGGGAGGCAGTCACCATATTTCCTTTCACTTTGAGTGTTTATTGTTTGCCTCCAGGTGAATCGGATCATCTTCTGTGTCTTCTTGGAAGTTGACTTCAAAATCTACAAAAAGAAAATGAGCGAATTTTTCCCTGTAGGTGAGTAAAGCGATTTGTTTCCTTTTAGAATGGAGGAATGAAGAAGTGGAGTTATCGCTTATGGTACTGCTGTTTCATTTCACATCTTAAAGACTGTTGCAAATGTTAACTCTATACGCAGTCACCCCTGGCAACTTGTATCATAGGTTTGAAGAGGTCACAGAGGTGATAGGAAATCTAGGCCCTAGACCTCTCTGTCCCACAAGGTGATCGTGTTGTCTTGGGAAAGTCAATTCATCTCTTGAGTCTCAGTTCCTCACATCAAAAGTGAGGAGTTGGACCAAATGATTTCTAAAGACTCTTCCTCTGGCCCTAAATTGCATAATCTGTGATTTCTTCCCCACTGTTGTAAATTGTCCAGGGCTGTGCCTACATCCACCATGTTAAACAGCCTCGTTGGAAATTGTGAGGAGCCCATTTATATTTGCAGCTAGAATTCAAACTTTTCCAGCATTCCGTTCCTCTTCCCTCCAATTTTCTCAGCCCAAATTGCAATGAAGATAGCAGCACTTTCTAGGGCAATCCAAGAAGGGTAGTCATTCATCTTATTTCACACTTCTGAGCATGTAGAAGAAACCTCAGGGTTATTAAAGAACCTTGGGTAATGGATTTACATGAGTGTGGATTTACAACTAATGTGCCATTAGTTGGATTTGGTTGATTTGAATATTTCCCTCCTCTGTCCCTCTTCCAGCCTATGAAGGCTGAGGCTTGTTTAATACCTTGTTATTTTTATGGTGCCATTAAAGTCACAATGCCCAGAGCACTTTCCTCAGCCGTGGTAAAAATGGCTTCCAGGAAAGCTACTGTGAGCATTGTTGGTGTCTGCCTTTCAGAGAGTTTTCTTTTGAGGTTTTCACATCCATTTGAAGTGGATTTTCAGGTAACTGGTGACTCTGGCAGGTAAGAAGGAGTGCATGGAGGGTGCTGGTACACATGCACCCTCTTACACGATCTATCAGAGCCACACAATGAAGAGGAGGCCCTGCCCGCAGGTCAGAGTAGGACGTGGGTAGCTGTCAAGAGCAGCTACGGAAAACTGCTACAGATGTTCAACTCTGGGCTCATGTCCAAAAAGGACTAAATTCTTCTGGGTAATTTGAAGTTCTTCTTTCTAATTTTATAATCGAAAGGTGAATCTGCTAAGTGTGCTTTCATTTGGGACTGTACGTATTTCCCTAACTGGAAGGTACTATAAATTTGGAAAGACTCTCATGTGATGAAGAAGAGGATTGTGATTGTGGTCTTTTTTTCCTCCTTTTCTCCTTTTCTTCCTTCTCATCCTTCTCCCCCTCCATTTTTCACTGTTCTTCATTTTTTAAGTAACTCAGTGTTTCACAGAGTGTAAAAGCACATAATAACTATTTAATAAGTAGTTCTTAATATGGGTTGAACTGAATAAATTCTTCTGCCCATAATCTGATGGCTTTTTTTTTCGTGTTTCAATCTTCTTGTTTCATCCTTTCTCTTTATTTCCTATATAACCACAGTGAGCTGATTGTGCCTGCATTTCTGCATTTTTAAGTATTCTTAAAAGAAAGTGTTCATTCATGTAAAAATGTGACTTACCATGGTGTGTGATGCAAATATTCTCATTTCTTGTCAATGTCACAGCATATTTTATAAATTTTGGACTTTTTGAGATGTTTAGAAATGATGACATATTTCTTTTCATGTCTTCTAAAATTAAAACTTGTTTTCACTCTAACATGATAAAAAATAATTTCATAGGTATGATCCATTGATATTAAAACAAATCTGTCCATCAGCAGGTATTTCCAATGATGAAAGCCAAAAATCATACTACAAGTTTATAAAAATGAGACAGTTTTAGTGGTCTAGAAAGTATTAATAACTATACAAATAAATTCTTGTTTGAAAAATTGCTAATCTAAATAAGTCCAACATGCATCTTAGTGCTTGAGCAAGTAAACTAATAATAAAATCATCTTTAGTTTCACATCAAAGCTTTGAATCAGGGCATGTTCATGAAATTATTTCCAGTGCCTATTTATAACAGTAAGTACATTTTTAAACTAAATGTCAAAATTCTCCAAAGTTGTTTAGTGTTTCTGCAATGCAGAGGCATCAGCCATTTGTAAATTCTAAACATGCAATATGAAATAAAGATGACCTCTGGTGGAGTATGTGACTGCTAATATAGATGATATATATCGTCTGTCCATAATTTGAATTTATGGTTAACTCATAACCATTCCATCTTTGATTGGAATATAATTTTTCTGACTTGCCATATAGTCACTGTAGACTGACTTATTCAGTGTATCTCCAACTAATCCTATTAACCCTTCCCAAAGCAATAATGATAATAGTCTAGGGAAAAAAGTCATTTTTCTGTTAAACCAAATCTCTGTGTACTTTAATCCTGTGTTTTTAAATTTCATAATCAGGAATCTGAGACAAAATGTATGAGAAAACAATACAAGTTAGACTATAAAAGCTCATATTAAAGATATAACCCATGCATAACTACTGCCTAATATTAATGACAGGAATAATTGCTAACTTATATGGATTGCTTTCCATCCACCAGGTACAAGGGCTAAATCAGTTTATCTTCGTGATAACTCTAAGAAAGTGACACTGTAATAACTGTACCTTTTAGATATGGAAAATGATACATATTTGAGAAAAACGAAGCATACAACCAGGAAGCCACAGAGCTATATTTTAAAATAGAGAATGGCATCTGTCATTGCACAAGTGATAATCGGTTAGTTTCCTCAGAGCGTCTTCAGAGAAGGACAGGTTCAACTTCCGGGATGCATTTAGAGCACTGAGAAAATCTCATTCCTAATTTCATCTGCTGCCCATCATTTTTGAAAGCTGCCACGCTTCTCTTTCTTCTAATACCTGTGAATCTCCTCATGGAATCTTTTCTGACATGAGTCAAATTGGTACTTTATCATGGATCTCAAAATCAAATTCCATCCAAATCATTCAGGCAGTGTGGTGCTGCTACCTGCAGATGAGCAGGAAAGTGGTCACCAGGAAGCCAAAAGGCCTCACAGCGTGACCAGAAGGGAAGGTGGAAACATGCTGTACTCATTTGCTGGGGCTGCCATAACAAAGTACCACAGATTGGGTGGCTCAGAGAGCTGAAATTTCTTTTCTCACAATCCTGGAGGCTAGAAGTCCAGGATCTAGGTGCCAACAGGGTTGGGTTCTCCTGAGGTCTCTCTCCTTGGCTTGTAGATGGCTGCCTTCTCCCTGTGTCATCACGTGGTCTTCCCTCTGTGTGTCTGTGTCCTAATCTCCTCTTCTTATAAGGACACCAGTAGTGTTGGATTAGGGGCCACCCTAATAACCTCATTTTAACTTAATCACTTACTCAAAGACCCTGTCTCCAAATACAGTCACATACTAAGGACTTCAACATATGTATTTTAGGGACACAACTCGGCCGTTAACAGGGCCTGTCATGGAAATGCAGTAGGAACATGAGAGGAAAGAAACCAGCAATGATTTTTTTCCCAAAAGTTTTGTATCTTGCTGTGGGTGAAGAACATTTAACTTTTTCCTTCCAGATGTATTATTTGTAAGCCTAGCATGTCAGCTTTATGGAATTACCATCCACTTTCGTTGCAAACAATTTATAGTTATAGTGCACCACTACATGGCCTCTAGCAAATAATATTTGTATGATTCAACTCAGAAATCTTTTTGTTCCTTACATGAAAAGTTTGTATTTTTTAGTGTGTAGGATTTATTGTATGTAGCCTTCATTGATTTGGAATAAGGAAGTCAATTTTTTATGAGTCTAAGTCCTAATAGAAAATTAAGGGATATTAATTTTCCTCACAATAACAATGTCAGATTTACAGTTTTGGAACAATATCAAAGAATCCTGATATTGGAAACTTGAGAGACGTCATGGTCAAACCCCCTCTCTCCCTCACTTTAGGGAACGCCTACATTTGTTTACTGCGGTGGTTCTCAGCGAGGGGTGATTTTGCCCTTCAGGGGTCATTTTGAGATATTTTTGTTTTTCACAACTGGGGAAGGGGAGTGGCTACAGGCATCTAGCAGGTGGAGGCCGGGCATGCTGCTAAACATCGTGCAAAGCACAGGAGAGCTTCCCACAACAAAGAATTATCCAGCCACGGATGTCGACAGTGCAGAGATTAAGCAGCTCTGGTCTACTGTAACCATCCCTCGCTTATCATTGAGCCCACTAAGGCAGACTTTGCCCTTGAGTTGCATTTATTTCATAGGGTTCTGCCTGCTGATGTCTTACCCAAACTTACTTACTTGCTGAACTTGAAAACTGTGCCCTCAGCCCAGCCTCTGGCTTTCTGGATTCATGACCCCATTCTCGTCTAGACTTCTGGGTTTGCCCTCTCTCCCTTTACTCTGTACCCACAGATTTCTATGTGTTGACCTCTGTAAACCATGTTATCCACAGCCCAACTGCTTGGCTCTAACCCACTCCCGGTATCATTCATGTATTGCTGCCCATAACTCTAGTGTGTTAGTCTCAGAAAATATGATTAACTATTATGCAGATTTTATACACATAATGCATAAGTGTGGAGATGAAGGCTAATATACAGATCAAGGAGGAACAAATTCACCAATTATTCTCTCTGCATACCTCAAGCAAAGCTTATAGCTCCTTTGGCTAAGAGTTTTCATTTTTATCATTGACTGCTGCTTTAGTGAGCATTGGTTGATAAGATTACGTTGTGAGCTCACAAATATTTTTTGATTATAGAAATCTTCAACTCCCTACCAGTATCCAAGCTCAACTGATTCCTTCACAATAAAGACACCTATGACTAAAAAATTTATCCATATTCTCTTTATTATTAACTCTGAAAGCAATGAAATTTGTCCATTTTTTTCCAGCTAGGAAATTTATGTAACTTACACACAATACTTGTGTCAACTTATTAATAGTTAGATATAATTAACATATGTATTTTGCATGGTAACTACCTAAGAAAGCTGATAAGATAGGAAAATGATTCCAGGATGCAGACGTGCTCATCCCAAATCCACCACTTGTCTCTAAAATGAAGATTTGCTTTAGACAGAAAATTCCATTCCTGTTTCTGGGTAGAACTCAAAAACTATTTGAAAAAATCTAATAGAATAGCTTATTTTTATATTATGATTTCTTTTTCGATCTCTTTGTCTTGTCTCACCAATAAAAAGGTAAGTTTGTGTAGAACAGAGACCATTTTAATATTTCCTTGCACTTCCATAATCTGGAAAATTTCTAAATATATAGTAGGTGTTTATTACAGTAAATAAAAAATTACCATGAGCTTAAGTTAAAACACTATTTAACCAAAGTCTCACGTAAAAAGTCAATTTTTTCTGAAAACCATAAGTATTGTTAACATAGCTAGATGAGTGTATAGCACTTCTTTTCATATGGTTTTCATCTTCCATAGTAAGGAAAGAATATTTCTCCAAAAAAATCTTTTAATTATACCTTCTGATAAATGGGCATGATAGTTTTAAAACTTTTACCTGGATCTATTCTTTAAGAGCTAACAAGAGAAAGTATTTGATGTGGGCCTGGCAAGCCGAGGAGTCAAAAGAAAGATTTCTTGGACTCTCAAGGTCGGGCAGTAGTGCTCTTTTGTTCAGAGAATAGCATGGGGACAGGACCCATGGGCAGTGAAGAGCTGCAATGTATTAAGGGTTAGGGCTAAATTTATAAGGCATGGGTACGTGACTTATTTTTACCAGACAAAGAAAAGATGATGGAAAAAGTCATTAAATGGTATCAGTGCAGGTGGGGTCTGGTTATTGCATGGTCGTATAACTTTAGATATGAATCGGGTCATATAGATCGTCATGTAGGCCAAGATGACTTGGACTTCTCTCCCTGGGGCAACCTTGATCCACATCAGTATTCACATTACCTTTTCTTCATCTTCTCTTCTCACTGATTTTATAAGTTTCTTTCATCCACCCTCATTCATTATCTTTCTGTCCATCAGTCAACAAATAATTTATTATATGCCTATGATCAAAGCCCAAGGATTTGATCACTGCTACATTTACAATATAATTCTATAATATGCTTGAGAGACAAGTATTTTGCAGGACAGTTGGAAGACAATATTAGCAAATAATCAAGTATAGCATTGGTATGGTCATAGTACCCAAGAATTCAGAGGCAAATATGTTTCAGGACCAGAGTGTTTGGGGTAAGTTTCATGAAGAATGTGACGCTTGCAGTGATCTTTAAAGAATAGGCAGGAGCAGAGAAGTGACGCCAAGTGTTGTGTAAGTGACATAGAGGAAGAAGGGCAGTTCAGATGGGAGAATTTGTGAAATAAATAGGATGCGTATATCCAGTTTGTGAATCCCTGACCGAGAAGTGTTGATACTCATCATTGTGTAATAAGTAGCTGGGGCCCAGAGTGAGTTCTTGAGTGGGAGATTACCATGATAGATCCTATATTGAAGAAGCATTAATTCAGTCCGAACATAGAGACTGGCCTTACAACAATAACCCTACGGCATATGTCCATAATTAGCTTTTATAGGAATGGTAGTGAACAGAGGCTGAAGAAAGCTCAGTAAATTGCCTAAAGTCACACACTTGAGCATTTCTGGCCTCAAAGTGTTTCCACTGTGCAATGCTGCTTCTCATAGAAATCCTAAAAATATGGACAATTGCCTGAAGCTAGACTTTTATCTGCTAAAAAACTATATATTATCTATTTGCCATAATAGTGCTAGAGCTTCTGAAAAGCTAGTGCGCCTCCAGCCATACGGCATATTCACATGTCTTCTTTCCTTCCTTTTCTTACCTGCTTCCCAGTCATCAGTTTTCCAAGAACAATAATGAAGCATAGGGTTCCATGATCTGTTAAGGTTTTCTTTCCTTTTTCCATGTCAAGCCAATGATCAGAAGATGAAGCTGGAAGGCAGTAATGGTGACAGGGGTGGTGAATATCTGAAACATGTAACCAGCGAGTAGTGAAGAGCTCAAAAAAGAGTCAAAAGCCTCCACATGTAGGAGAAGACCACTGGGTTTGTCATCACAAGAAATAGTTTCTATTCCTGTTCCAACCACCTAACTCTGTGACTTTGTGCACATTGCTTAACCTTTCTAGCTTCAGTTCTGTCATGTGCAAACATGGTAATAAGCCAATTCCAAATAGAATGAATAGCATTGTAAATGAATATTCAGAGAGCTGTCTATACCAAGAACCAAAATTTTAAAATATCCATGTTTATTTCTTATTACAATTTTAAAAGGGAGTATTTCAGCTATTGTGACCATCTTTTTTTTTTTTTAAAAAAAAAATATAACTTCTTACTACAAAAGTAGTACAGATTTGTAGTAAAAACCAGATAATCAAAAAGAAGAAAATACAGGGGAGAGGCGGAGCAAAATGGCAGGGTGAGCTGACCCGGGACTCTCTCCCCTCCAAAGTACAACAAAGGACTGAAAAAAACCCTTGAATTTCAGCTAATGAACCTAATGCCAGGACTCAGAGACCTACAGTATCAAAAGACAGAGGACGGAGCCCCTGCTGCCTGCCTCGGAGGAGCTGGAATGGGGTAGGAGAGAACATCGCTCCATCCCCTAGAAACCAGGATCACCACGTGGGTCCAGGAAGGAGCGGGGGAGGGGCCACATGACCAGGGGATCGTCTAGGACTCCTGCCACCGGTACAGTGGAACCCGCTGACGGGGGAAAGCTTCCGTGCGTGGGGACCCCGTAAACCCAGGGCCCCGGGAGACCAGAGAACAGAAATGATCGAATCCAGATCAGTGCGCGAGAGAAACCGCACCTGCCATGCCCCAGCATAGTGCACTGGGCGCCGCCATCTTGCCCGAAGGAGGAGAGCTCAGAACGTGCGGCACTCGACCCCCATCTAGTGGCAACAGGCTTTAACTGCAACCGAATTCTACTACCATGCGAAAAAACCACTCCTCTACCATCCAGCAATTTATAAAAGCCCCAAACCAGAAGGAAAACAATAAAAACACAGAATAGAGTCCTGAGGACTTGGAATTAGATAAACTAAATGAAAATGAGTTCAGAGCAGCTATAAGCAAAAAACTCAATGAGCTAGAGAGAAAGATAGAGAAAGAAGCCGAGTTCTGGAGTTACTTCACAAAAGAGATTGAAATTATAAAGAAGAATCAAACAATTACTAGAGATGAAAAACACAATGGACCAGATAAAACAGACTATGGATTCCCTGAATGCCCGGGTAGACTCCATAGAAGAGCAAATTAGCATAATCGAAGATAGACAGGCTGAATGGCTCCAGACAAAGGAAGAAAGAGAACTAAGGATTAAAAGGAATGAGGAAAGTATTAGAGAGATAGCAGATTCAATGAGGAGAAAGAATTTAAGGATCATAGGAATTCCCAAGAATGTGGAAAAGGAAAATGGAGCAGAAAGTGTGCTTAATGAAATTATAGAAGAGAACTTCCCAAATCTAGGGGTTGAGGGAGAAATGTGTATAGAGGAAGCTTTCAGATCTCCTAGATTTGTCAATGTAAAAAGACCTACTGCAAGGCATATAGTAGTACAAATGGCAAAAATGAATGACAAAGAAAGGATACTCAGGGCTGCAAGACAAAAGAGAATAACCTACAAAGGAGCTCCTATCAGACTTTCAGCGGATTTCTCTGCAGAGACCTTACAAGCTAGGAGAGAATGGAGTGACATATTCAAAGCTTTAAAAGATAAAAATCTTCAACCAAGAATACTCTATCCAGCAAGAATATCCTTCAGATATGAGGGAGAAATTAAATCTTTTCCAGACAAACAAAAGTTAAGGGAATTTGTAACCAAAAGTCCTCCACTACAAGAAATCCTCAAGAAGGCTTTCATACCTGAAAAAAGAAAAAAGGGAGAAAGGGGTCACAAACCACAGAGTAGGGAGACAGATAAATAGAACCAGAATAGGATAGCAAATATTCAACTATAGCATTAGGATAAAGGTAAGGAAACTACCAAAGCAAAGACGATCTTATCACTGTAACTACAAACTCATAACACAAGTTGGAACAAGAAGTGAAAATAATAATTTAGGAGGGGAAGAGCAAAGGGACTAAATTAGTCTAGGCCAAGTAAGTAAGAGACCACCAGAGAATAGACTATATTATACACAAGATTCTAAGTACAAACTTCAGGGTAGCAACTAAACTTAACAACAGAACAGAGACACAAAACATAAATAAGCAAAAATCTAAGAAACGCAGTGTAAGAAATTGCAGTATCAAATGGGTAGGATAAAACACACAGGAAGAGAAAAGCAGGAAAGCCAGATAATGAGCAACAGATTGACAGCTTTAAGTCCACATGCATCAATAATCACTCTTAATGTAAACGGATTGAACTCTCCAATAAAAAGACACAGAGTGGCAAAATGGATTAAAGTACAAGATCCAACAATTTGTTGCCTCCAGGAAACACACCTCAGCCCCAAGGACAAACACAGGCTCAGAGTGAAGGCGTGGAGGACAATACTTCAAGCTAATAGCAAGAAAAAAAAAGCAGGTGTTGCAATTCTTATATCAGACAAAGTGGATTTCAAAATAAGACAGGTAAAGAGAGACACACAGGGACAATATATAATGATCAAAGGGACACTTCATCAAGAAGAAATAACGCTTATAAATATCTATGCACCCAACATAGGAGCACCAAGGTTCATAAAGCGACTATTAACAGACCTAAAGGAAGATGTTAAAAACAACACAATAATAGTAGGGGACCTCAACACCCCACTCACATCAATGGACAGATCATTCAGAGAGAAAATCAACAAAGAAATAGTGGAGCTAAATGAAAAACTAAAACAATTGGACTTAACAGACATATATAGATCACTTCATCCTAAAAAAGCAGAATACACATTCTTCTCAAGTGCACATGGAACATTCTCAAGGATAGACCATATGTTGGGAAACAAGGCAAGCCTCTACAAATTTAAAAAAATTGAAATAATAACAAGCATCTTCTCTGATCATACTGCTATAAGGCTAGAAATTAGTTACAAGAAAAAAGCTGAGAAAGGCACAAAGATGTGGAGACTAGACAACACACTATTGAACAAGCAATGGATCATTGAAGAAATTAAAGAAGAAATCAAAAAATACCTGGAAACTAATGAAAATGATAACATGCCATACCAACTCATATGGGATACAGCAAAAGATGTATTAAGAGGAGAATTCATCGCAATACAGGCACATCTTAACAAACAAGAAAAATCCCAAATAGGCAATCTTAAACTACACCTAACTGAACTAGAGAAAGAAGAACAAATAAAGCCCAAAGTCAGCAGAAGGAGAGAAATAATAAAAATCAGAGCAGAAATAAATACTATTGAAACGAAAAAGGCGGTAGAAAGGATCAATGAAACAAAGAGCTGGTTCTTTGAGAAGATAAATAAAATTGACAAACCTCTAGCCAGACTTACAAAGAAAAAAAGAGAGAAAGCTCAAATAAACAAAATCAGAAATGAAAGAGGAGAAATAACAACAGACTCTGCAGAAATACAATGGATTATAAGAGAATACTACGAAAAACTCTATGCTAACAGAATGGATAACCTAGAGGAAATGGATAGATTCTTGCACTCCTACGATCTCCCAAAGTTCACTCAAGAAGAAGCAGACAATTTGAACAGACCAATCACAAGGAAAGAGATTGAAACAGCAATCAAAAACATCCCAAAGAATAAAACCCCAGGACCAGATGGCTTCCCTGGGGAATTCTACCAAACTTTCAGAGAGGACTTAATACCTATCCTTTTCAAGCTATTCCAAAAAATTAGGGAGTATGGAACACTTCCTAACACATTCTATGAGGCCAACATCACGCTGATACCAAAGCCTGACAAGGACACCACGAAAAAAGAGAACTAGAGGCCAATATCACTGATGAACATAGATGCAAAAGTTCTAAACAAAATTTTGGCCACCAGAATTCGGCAATTCATCAAAAGGATCATACATCATGATCAAGTGGGATTCATACCAGGGACACAGGGATGGTTCAACATCCGCAAATCAATCAACGTGATACACCACATCAACAAACTGAGGAATAAAAACCACATGATCATCTCAATAGATGCAGAGAAAGCATTTCACAAGATCCAACAGCCATTTATGATAAAACCTCTGAACAAAATGGGCATAGAAGGGAACTACCTCGACATAATAAAGGCCATATATGACAAACCCACAGCCAACATCATACTCAATGGGCAAAAACTGAGTGCCATACCCCTGAAAACAGGAATGAGACAAGGATGCCCTCTATCACCACTCTTTTTTTTTTTTTTTTTAAGATTTTATTTTTTCCTTTTTCTCCCCAAAGCCCCCCGGTACATAGTTGTGTATTCTTCGTTGTGGGTTCTTCTAGTTGTGGCATGTGGGACGCTGCCTCAGCGTGGTCTGATGAGCAGTGCCATGTCCATGCCCAGGATTCGAACTAACGAAACACTGGGCCGCCTGCAGCGGAGCTCGCGAACTTAACCACTTGGCCACGGGGCCAGCCCCTCTATCACCACTCTTATTTACCATAGTACTGGAGGTCCTGGCCAGAGCAATCAGGCAAGAAAAAGGAATAAAAGGAATCCAAATAGGGAGGGAAGAAGTGAAACTCTCGCTGTTTGCAGATGGCATGATCTTATATATAGAAAACCCCAAAGAATCCATTGGAAAACTGTTAGAAGTAATCAACAACTACAGCAAAGTTGCAGGGTATAAAATCAATTTGCATAAATCAGTAGCATTTCTATATTCTAATAACGAACTGACAGAAAAAGAACTCAAGAACACAATACCATTCACAATCGCAACAAAAAGAATAAAATACCTCAGGGTAAATTTAACTAAGGAAGTGAAAGACCTATATAACAAAAATTACAAGGCCTTTCTGAGAGAATTGGATGGCGACATAAGGAGATGGAAAGACATTCCATGTACATGGATTGGAAGAATAAACATAGTTAAAATGTCCGTTCTACCTAAAGCAATCTACAGATTCAATGCTATCCCAATGAGAATCCCAATGACATTCTTTACAGAATTAGAACAAAGAATCCTAAAATTTGTGTGGGGCAACAAAAGACCCCGAATTGCTAAAGCAATCCTGAGAAAAAAGAACAAAACAGGAGGCATAACAATCCCTGACTTCAAAACTTACTACAAAGCTACAGTAATCAAAACAGCATGGTACTGGTACAAAAACAGGTGCACAGATCAATGGAACAGAATTGAAAGCCCAGAAATAAAACCA